AAGGTATATCCCTCCACCTCGGCAGTTCAAGGTAACAGATCAAAGTGAAGATGGGAAAACTGTTTACCGTTCGTGGATGATTGAAGACAGCCACAAGGTGACCGATAGAGACAGCCCAATTCCAGAAGTTCCTCCACAACTTCAAGCGGTCAACATGCCCGCGCGATTTCACAGGGTGATCACCGGCCAGGTTGGACCCACGATGCGGTCCCGGACTATTGAGATGACTTCTCCAACTCCATCTCCACCACAGCAGCCTGCTCATATGCCTACTGAAGAACCTCCATTACCAGATTCAACACCAGTTGTATCACCGGAGAGCAGGCCAGCAAAGAGGAGTCGTCTCCAGCAATCGAGCTCATCTTCACGATCACAGATGTCTTCTTCTTCAGCACCTGCACCATCCACGACACCACGTCGTACTAGCCTAAGTGCAAGCAAGAAGAAGGCTGGCACTCCTCCTCCAAAGGACGTCTCTAAGACGTTCGGTCAGCCTGTCCAGCTCCAGAAACATAAGGAAGAATATGCCGATCTGATGAAACGAGCGGTCACCCCTTCTCAGTTCATGGACTATGCAGCATTGCAGAAGACCGAGCGGGCAGAGGAAGTGATGACATACTTCCGCCGAATGAATTGGGCACGATTTCCGGAGCTGCACTTCCCCACCTATCCACACCTCACCAGAGCATTCTTGGCCACCTACAGCTTCGAGGATAATGGGGTTGAGAGCAAGCTTCAGAGTACTTTGGCCGGGAAAACCAAGTCCCTCTCTTTGAGCCAAGTAAACCGAGCACTTCTCTTCGATGGTCCAGCAGATGCAATTCCTGATGAAAAGCAGGACTTGAGTGAGTTTTGGACTACAATTGTGGCAGATGGAAAGGACTTCAATCCTACTACTTCGAGGAGAGCATCGATCAGAGATCCGATAATCCCACTAGTACATGACTACCTGGCTCGCACTGTCTTGGGAAAGGGATCCAATGCCAGTGGTGTCTACACCACCGATCTCAGGTACATTCACAGTTTTGTTACTGGAACACCATTGTGTGTTGGGTACATGGTGGGTAAGATGCTGGAAAATGATGCACTGAAGACTTGCGGAGCAATTATGTGTGGGGGAATCATTACTGCCTTAGCTCGAGCTTACTGGGGGTTCCCGGAGAACCCTACGGGTTTGGAGATCAGTGATGGCTCGACTCTACTTGGGGAAGCAACATTAGGCAAATTGGGTTTTCTGAGGAAAGTAGGATCTCGTGGAGAGTATCTATCTATTGCAAAATACAAGGAGTGGGAGACCAAGGTCAATCGGAAAAGGGAAGCAAGAGCTGCTAGAGCAACTTCTGCTTCGGCATCATCTGCCGCACCATCAGTAGCCACTCCGACCACAGCTCCAGCTCCTACACCGACAGCAGCGGGACACTCGAACTCGAGTGTCAGCCAGGGCCAGCAGTCCCATCCTACTCCAGTTCCGCATCCAGAAGATACCCCACCAGTCGTACCAGCTTCACCATCATCTACAGACGAGCTCAGAGCCAGAATAGCTCTCTTGGAAGCCAGAGACGCAGAGAAAGATAAGAAGATCCAGGAGCTAAACCGGCGTCTAGATGAGAAGCTCGGCACTTCTGCATCGACCCCTCCTCCATAGGAGCTTGTCCCGAGGTTCTTTTTCTTTTCTTTTCTTCTTTTCTTTGTGAATACTTCTGATGATGGTCTGTATAATGTTAGTTAGGTGAACCGATTGGTGTGTCGTGTGTAGTTGTAGACATTGTGGACAATGTCCATCCTGAGTGTGGGGTGGATGGTCTGTGTTCTTGTCGTGTTTTGTGTTTTATGTCGAGTCGCAGTTGTCCACAGTGTCTCGTTTTGTGTTAAAAAAAAAAAAAAAAAAAAACTGCCATTAGGTTGAGCACGGGCAAGCTGCATGCAGTCTCCCTGTGTAAAAAGCAGTCTGCCTGTGTAAAAAGCAGTCTGCCTGTGTTAATCTAATGGCTAAAAAAAACACCTAAAAATCAGAAAAATCAAAAACAAAACCTTGTACTCTTGTGGTAACATGATGTAAATGACCGTGATGCCTTGAAAATGAGTTTGTGCTTGAATGAAATCATCGAAATCACCCCACTAGTGTTGAATTGCATAGTTCTTCACAATGAGCTTGAATGTTTTGACTGACTTGATATGCTTTGAATTAGCAAACTCTTGTAGCAACATTCTCTTTTGTGAGGATAGTGTAACGACTTTTGGTGAAGTAGTTAGGTGGAGAACATTGACCATTCGATATGTTTGGATACCGTGCTTACTTGCATCAATTGTGAGCTTTTGATTTGGTAACGAGTCTCTCTGTTTTGAATGTTTTATGATGGGGTGAACTGTATCTTCAAATGAGAAAACACTACCTGACAAGTAAAATATAAGAAAGTTGCCATAACAATTAAAGTGTGGGCAAAAAAAAAAATGCCAAAATCGTGTGAGGCAATCACTCATTGCACATTGGGATGAGGAAAGATTCAATTGAGAATCGGTTCGCGACCGTACGATGTTGCTTATCAAGTACGATCCCCAGTTGAGTGAAGTGCCATTTGAGGGTGCAATGACCCTCCACACGGACCGAGGAAAAGGAGTTAAAAGAAGCCCTTATGCGAGTGCTAAGAAGCAGAAATTGCTCTTGCTCGGTCACCGGTAGTAAGAAACAAATCCCACTTGTACTAAATACGACTTCTCGGCAAGCAAAAGCAGAAAGAGAGAAAGCCTCTCCTTGTCATAAAAGGTAGTGATGTGCTTAAAGTAAAATCATGTTTGCGAAAGGCTTCCCCCATTAGTTTTGAGACTCATGCTTAATTAATTGCTTATGATTGATGTGAGTAAGCCAGATTGTCCTCACGAGATATGCACCTCACTGATGTGGTTAGATTCTCCTAATAACTGTTGCACCATAAGTTGTTAATCACTCGCTACCGACGATCGAAACTGATTGTTGCTATTTGAGTTTTTGGATGGATTTGAGTCAGTCAATGGTTAAGGGTTGCAAAGACCTTGAGTGTGGGGTGAAAGGTATGATCATTAAAGCACAACTTGTCCTTTGAGAAAGAAACTACTGATTACAATAAGAGTACAAGGAAATTTTGAGTTTTACTTTGAGTGTTGAGTCTGTGGTGTGTCATTGTTATGGTTGGTTATGTGTTTGTGTCGTTTGAGTCGTTGCTTAGGGACAAGCAACAATTGAGTGTGGGGTTGTGATATTCGGCTTTAATATATCGGATTCTTGGACTTTATGTGATTATCCGTGGTATGTTTTAGCCAATTGGTGCTATTTTAGGGCTCGCTAACCCGAGAATGGTTGAAAAACCATTACTGCCTAGTGCCATGAGTTTGATGTATTACAGGTGAAGAAAACACGAAAAAGAAGTTGCACCGGCAAACAATTCTCGAATGCTGGGCTTAAAGTCCAGCTGGATGGGGATATATGACTGGCGGCCATAGAGCAAGCGGGAATACTTAAATGGGCCAAAGCCCATTCGCTTGGTCTCCTTGTGTTGGGCGGTGGAACTGAAAAAAAAACTTCTTCCGGGCTGGTGAATTTTGGGCGCATATTTGGTGGGCCGGCGACGGAATTCTTGAGAACAGAATCAGAATTGGACACGGACGGCTGGGACGCGTATTCTTTTGGAGCTGGCGGCAATTAATTGGAAAAGGGAAGTTTTTTTTTGGACACGAAATTTCTGCTGGGGGGGGGGGGGGGAAGTTTAATTAATTTGGAGGGGCAGCTTTTCTTTTGGTTTTTACGGGGGGGACGTGAATTCTTTTGGGAGAAGGAAGGCGCGCAGCAGCTGAGGTCGCGGGCAGAATTCTTGGCGATCAGTTTTTCAAGGCTAGAGCTGAGTTCAACGAGAGCGATTAGTTGGTTTGATTTTCTAAACTGAACTAGTTGTGTATTGTTGATTTAGAACATGATGAACAAAACCCTATCGATTTATCTTAATTTCGTCATGAACTAAACCCCAATTTCTGGGGGAAACACCATAGGATGTAGCAATTTCTTGATTTGATGGATTGATTTATGATTCTTTTCTTCCAATCTCTATTGCATGAAATTGCTTAATGCTTTGTGTTGACTGGCCACCAATACATCGATTTGTAGTTAATTAGGTTATTAGCGACAGTGAAACCCTATTAACCGAGCCTATTTCATGTGACATAGTAACTTATCGAAGCGACAGTGGATTAAATAAGGTGCTATGCGGTCTTAAATAGGATATCGATCTTCAGGCTAGATAGTTAATTCATTGAGCTACGACAGTAGGATTTGAATTGATTATTTAGTACGTAGTAATTCCCGACAGGGATAGCTAGCACATTCGTGATATCTTGGCTGTAGAGAATTGGATTAAATTGATTGGAATATGTGAATTAATCTGGATAGGATAGGTAGTGAATCCCGGTGTTTCTCCCAGAGCTTTCTCCCATTGAATTTTCCTCGACAAGTTTACTTTGCTTAATTAGTTTAGTTAATTTTGCTTTTAGTTAATAATTTCATCTCGTAAACATTTTCACATATAGTTTGCTCGAAAGAATTGATAAATCATAAGGTTGTACCAGTCCCTGAGAGACGATACCCGGATTTCCGGTTTTACTACAAGATAGGATTAAGGCATATACGCTTTTGCCCTATCAGGACAATAAAACACAAGTCCCAAAATAAACCTCCCTTCAATATCAACACACAAGACAAGCAAACATAACAAACACCAGGCAACACACCGGTCAAAGGCCGGACACCCAGCTAGTAGAGTATATATACATCTTCTGTTTCTGCGTCAGGAGATAAACGGAGAAAAGATGTTATGGCCCGAAAGAAAAGAAAGGAAGGCACTCGGTTGCAGAAGCACCAGAAAGCATTGGTTGGATAAATTTGAATGGATACTACCATTGTTTCTTCTGATCATCGGGAAGTTTCATATGTAAGTATTGTTAGTGTTGTGGTATATGATCCACGATTGAACCTCTCCCAACAACTCGAGTTATTGGGAGCAACAGGTTCTTGACATGGAATCAGAGCCTAGAACCGAAAGGTCATGTGTTCGAATCTCCACGACCCCCAATATTAACCGTTGTCTTTCAAGCCCATGGTTTGGCTTGAAGTTTGAGGGGGCGTGTTAGAGAGTGATATATGATCCAGTATAACCTTCTCCCAACAACTCGAGTTATTGGGATCAACTGGTTCTTGACATGGTATCAGAGCCTTCTGTGAGTGGCTTTCGTTTGAGGGGGCGTGTTAGTGTTGTGGTATATGATTCACGATTGAACCTCTCTCAACAACTCGAGTTATTGGGATCAACTGGTTCTTAACATGGTATCGGAGCCTTCTGTGACTGAGAGGTCTTGTGTTCGATTCCCGATAACCCCCATTTGTTAAGCACATGGTATTCTTGTCTTCAGACCTGTGCAAACTTCAAGCTCTTGTGAGTGGCTTTCGTTTGAGGGGGCGTGTTAGTGTTGTGGTATATGATCCACGATTGAACCTCTCCCAACAACTCGAGTTATTGGGAGCAACAGGTTCTTGACAAGTATGACACTGGTTGTGTTTCCGAGTTTTGTTAAAGTGCCATTTATATCACTTGATATATATGTAACATGTTGTTATGAAAGATTAACCAATTGATTTGGTTAGTGATATCAAATGAGATGAGAGCACACGCATAATTTATATTATGAGAAAAGTTCAAGAAAAATTCAATTGTGTTTGAATTTGGAAGAATTCACGTTAAATTCTTGAAACAAAATTTTTCACCAAAATTTGTATGCTTTTCAATTTTGATAGTTGCAAGATGCAACAATTTGGTTTATGTAACAAATTGTTTGAGTTGTGATCTTAAAGTAAATTGAAATAATGGTAAACTGTGTTCCCCCAACATGATAGTTTGTTCATCATGTATGTGGTTGATGACTTCATATTTCATATGCCTTGACGCTTGAGGGCAAGGAAAATGAAACTAAGATTGATCCTTATAGGAACTAGTCACGTGCCCAGCCGGATTCATTTATAAATCATACTAGGCTGTGGTCAAATGAATTTTTTAAACTATGAACTCTTCCGTGGATTTGTCCCGATCGTAAAATTGGAGATACCACGTAAAAGATCGTGTCTCGGTCTCAATACTTGGTTATTTTTCTCGTGGTATCAGAGCAACAGGTTAAGCAGTAACGTTATCTTCCCGCGGTTATGGTGAACCAAGCACCCCATCAGGTTTTAATTCCCTTTGAGTATAGATAACCGAGAACATCACCTTCACCGTTGGCCAAATTGAAGGCTAGTTCCTCCCCTTCCATGCCTTTCTCCCCAACCTCCAAAATCTATACTTTCATTGGAGCATCATCTTTGGCCGGCTGTATTCTAGGTGCTCTCCTACGCTTGACTCCATTTTCTCCCTTTCCTTGCACCAGGTATCGATACATTTAGCTCGGATGCCTCATCATCGGGTACGTCATCATCGGCCAACAATGACTTATAATTAACTTCCGCCGTTGCCTCGAGAGAAACCTCAGAGGAAGAACAAACATCATCTTTCATTCAAGAAAAACAACAACATAGTACCAAAACCATTACGAAATGAGGCGAGAAGAAAATAGTTTAACTGACATCCTCTTTAACCATAAATATAAAAAGAGAATAAAATAGTTCAACCTACATCCTGACCGACAAAATCCTCATACGAAAAATGAAAGAAAAACCTCATGAAAGGGAACCGACTCCTAAAATTGTTTTAAAATAATCCTTCTATTTACTCCTCATCGTCGGAGACAGCTCCATGTTTTCATTTTTTCTGGTTCTTTTCACTTCCTGCTCCATCGACTACATCACTACGTCCATCCATAGTAGTTGCTTTGTCGTCATTGGTGTCGCATTGTGCTCCATTATATGTTGACGCCTCCTTCTCTTACATTTGGGGAGTTTCTTCCTCATTTTTCTGCATTATATTTAGCACAAATTTTAGGTATTATAATATTGTGCAAGTAAAAGTAAATTATCTCATCGTGTAATATTTACCTCCGCCTCATGAGCCATATCTTGCTTTTTCTCAGCACCATCAATGGCAGCAGGTACACCATTAGCAGCAGGTCTACTTTCCTCCTGCAATTGCTTGTGATTATATTAATGAATGAAAGTTCCACTAATATATATACACATATATGGTTCAAGCTAGCGTACGTCAGTCGTACATTGTACAATGTACGACTGAATAAATATAACAGTAATAGAATTATATACATATCAAAATCAAACTCACGTAATGGAAAGTGCATGGTAATTATGATTCAATAAATAGAAGTTCCAGTAATAGATATAAGGGTTAATATTTTCGTATGGCCTGAACTTTGACCAAAATAAACATCCTGGCCAATCTTTTTGATCTATAACATCCTGGCCCAAACTATACACCAAAATAAACAATTTGGCCAGATCCGACTTTTGACCGTTAACTTGGACGGTCAAACGCGTTGACCGTTAGTCAACGCGCCAAGTAAGCATTAAATATTTAAAATAATTCACAATTTCCATATATTCCCTAATTTTAAAGTATTATAAATTAAAAAATCATCTAATACCTTAGTTAAACCAAAAATAAAAAAATAAATATTTATCAGATCTTCTGACTTGGCAGTGACGTGGCACATTGACCGTCCAAGTTAACGGTCAAACATCGGGTTTGGCCAAATTGTTTATTTTGGTGTATAGTTCGGTCCAAGATGTTATAGATCGAAAAGATTGGCCATGATGTTTATGTTGGTCAAAGTTCATGCCATACGAAAATATTAACCCTAGATATAACAATCATAGAATCATATACATTGCAAAATCAACGTCGTAAGTATTGGAAAGTGTTGTAAATGACAGTTTGACGTTACTTGGACATACCTCGATCAATATTGGCAGATCATTTGAGTTGGAGTTTTCCTCATCCTTCCCTATCTTGATAATTGTGTATTCGCTTGTAGGGTTAGCGATGTTGTAACCTGTGAGCTTGATGAAGAACTTCAACGTCATCCCTTCAATTTGTAGGAGATGAGCCGGTGGTGGTCCTCTCATTTGATTGTTGTCTTGGAAAAGTTTTTCAGCAGATATGCGAAATAATCAATCGTCAACTCCTTCCATAATAACAAAGTCAACTGCATTTGTTGTGTCCGCAGCTCGGAGGTGGATCCTGAATCTATGGTTATAATGACGTAATTAAAGAAGAAAAAAATCGTAGGAGTGGCGAGGCCGTTGAATTGATATATGTAAGCCAAAAGTAACTGAATAAAAACCTTGTTGCAACAAATTAAATCACCAACCACGTTGCTATATCTATGAAATTAAAAAAGGAGCATAAACTATGTTGTAGTCAATCATGTATCCAACCACGATACCAGTATATCAAGGAATGAAATACATGAAACTAAAATTGACATTAACAATCCTCGAATTACCGGGCTGTTGTGGTCTTTAATGTTGTCATACAACTCCCACAGAAGTACTCATCCAAATCTTCTTCGAGTTTTTGTGGACATTTTTGACATCCAACATAGCACCACCCATTCTTAACATTGAGAACTTTTCATATGACAGAATACATATTTCCCTGCATTTTATATGTAGTGTTAGCGATTGATAATCATTAGGTTGTTGAATTGAAATTGGTACTGACCTCCTCTCCCTCGTTCATCTTCAATATATTCAGCTCATCTATTGTTTTCAGTGGAACTAAATTTTGATGTTTTTCTATTTCCTTCACTGGCAGAGCTGGCAGATCACCCCCACTTTATTCACCAAAAAGGTAGGTAATTAATGTCTTAATACGTTATAAGCTTGTAACTTAAAATTCACAACAATACGATGACAAAGATGTCGCGAGTTTTACCTAGGCGCAAAATTAATGACTTCAGGAATTTGTGGATCAGCCAGCAGTAAGGTCGCTCCGCTTGAAAAGAATGTGTTCTCACCTGCAAATGTGAAGGTAAGTTAATCAAGTGTTTAGTTTATATGAATTATATTAATTGATATGAAAGTAATTAAAATTCACAACAATACGATGACAAAGATGTCGCGAGTTTTACCTAGACGCAAAATTAATGACTTCAGGAATTTGTGGATCAGCCAGCAGTAAGGTCGCTCCGCTTGAAAAGAATGTGTTCTCACCTGCAAATGTGAAGGTAAGTTAATTAAGTGTTTAGTTTATATGAATTATATTAATTGATATGAAAGTAATTAAATTGTGTGTTTACCATTGAAATCAGCGATGTATAATGATGTAATGACCAGGATGATAGGACGATTGTCAGCACTTGCAAGAATGGCATTAAATTGGGTGATTATCCTACCAAATAGAGTTACCTTGACAACCAATCCCCTGTACCCGAATTATGTATTAGATTTGCAGTTAGAAATAAAGTAATGTATGTTATTTGAATTTTGAAACAGAAAGGTAAAAGAAATACATACTCTAGAAGTTTCAATTGTAGCTCTTTGCGGGTAACTTTTCCAGTCAGTTTGGTACTTGTAAGCAAAGTAGAATACTGAATAAGCTGAATAAGCAGAATCCACTACACCTTCTAGTGGTAAGAAAACAGCTCTCTTATGCCCTGAATAACACGTGAAATGAAACATATTAAATTGCAAATCTATATAATTATGCTAAGAGCAATTTTTGTACTTACATTCAATTTTTAATGGTCGAATTGACTCATTATTTGAGACTGTCGATGACTTACCATGGGGAAAACTTCTTCTTCGAGGCATAGAACTTCAAAAACGAACATGAGATTTGCCTTCAGCAACCAATGCAAGCAAGTAATGAGCAAGACGAATGTTAAAGGAAAACTTGACAACCACTTACAGAGAAGGGATAGTAATAATGCACAAATAGTGAGATAGAGAGAGGCATGATTAAGAAAGAACATAAAAGAACATGAGATTCGCCTTCAGCAGCCAATGCAAGCAAGTACTAACCAAAACGAACCTTAAAGGAACAACTTACAACTACTTCAAGGGAAGGGATGAGAATTATGAGTATAAAAGGTAGAATGTATGAATGCAATGCTTGTGTGGTTATGAAACTTTTGTGGAACTTAAGAACTCTCTTTTGTACCCCTTTGACTCAGTACCATCATCGGTGATATACAACACATCAACCCAAAGAACACTAACATGAAAGGAATAGTAGTAAAGTACATGGTACCACTTCAGCCGGTATAAGAGTGGAGAGCAGAGTAGAAGAGAACAACTACAAATAGAAAGCAATAGAATTTATGTAATAGAAAGCAATAGAATTTATAGGAGGTTTTTTGGGTTCTGTGGAAGTTGTAGAATTGGCGGAGGATTTGGGAGTGCCTTGTTGGTGTTCGATCTTTTGCCTCAAAGAAAGCTCATGGTTTATCTATGACGTGGCGCCACTCAGATGGGGCCTCAGCCTGGTATTTTGTGAGTGTTTTTCGTTAGAGTCGTCACATAAATTTCATGTTGTTTATTCAGTTAAATTCCAAACTACTCAACTCTTTCTAGACATAAAATTGAGCCCGCCGGTTGGACGGATAAATTATACGACTGATATAAATAGTAATAACAATTGTCCGAATGAGGTTACTTTTTTCTAGACTTAAAGGTTAGGTTGGCCTCCATAACAGAGTACAACAATACCTAAAACTTCTTGAACAAAAGTGTCATTTGCATCAATAAACATGTCTCGAGGAACTGATACTGAGCCTTATCCCTACATTTCATTCCCATACCTGAGTAACTTCAAGGAAAAACAAAGAATGGTAATTTTTTATTCACTCTTCTTTTAGCAGGCTAGTCTCTATGTCACAACAGGTTGTGCTAATAGTGTGTGCTGAACTCATTATCAATTAAAACCATAAAGTCATATGTAAGACGAAAAATGGTGTCTACCTAGGAAAGAAACTGAACTCAACCAAGGCATGCTTTGGCATATTAGTGAGTGTCAGCTGTAGTACAATTACTTTAGGGTCGATTTCATTAAAAGTAAGTGTCATATGCATTCAACCACATCCATTTTTATACATGAGTAAAACGTCAATTTCAATCTAGACGATTCAAAGGCAAAAGGAGGACAAAGTAGGGTGACAAAGTAGGAGGACAAAGTAAGGCAAAAGGACTACATGTAATTTTACTCAAATTACTTTGAATGTTGATTTTATTTTCTCATAGTTTAATTATAATAAATTTATCAATTTATCAATGTTGATTTTATTTTCTCATTTTCTACCCCAACCTACATCTCATGATAAATTATTTTATCTGAATCCGATCGGCTACAAAAGTGGTATGGGTATTGGTCCTACCTCTCATAACAAAAACTAAGAAAACTCATGAAAAGGCTGCTTAAAAGCGCTACTATGCATTGAAAGGGCTGCTGCTAAGTTTGAATTAAGCAAAATTCCAAATTATATGGCCAGGGGAAGACATTAATTAGAAAGGGTAGATGGGATTTGAATAAGAGGATTACAGTTGTGTACCTTACTGGAAGAAAGACTGGTGGAGCAGTTGCCGCTCGAGTGCTGCCCATTGTTGTCTTCGACTAGTGGTAATTGTCTTCGACTGGTGCAATGCAACAAAGACTGATGGATCAGACTCACTCGACTGGTGCTGCTGCCCAGATAGTCACATTAAAAGAAAAATACACAGTGGCAACAGTAGCTAGCTAACTAACCCCTTCAAACCCTTTGAACCTCCCCAAGCATCAGATATAGGTGATTGGGCGGTCCTCCTTTACTTTAATGAACTGATTGTGGCCTTTCTCGCGGAACATAGTGGTCGATAGAATGCCACTTTCAATGTTCCGATAAACCTCAGCTTGATAGGTTTTCCTCGCAAGATTAGGATCAGACGACAGCAAGTCAGTAGCGTGGAAGGTGATGTGGTAGTTCTCGCCACCGCAAGGACTCAAATTGGCCTTCTCAATCTGATCAAGTCGCCAACATCAAATCCCTATTCACGGACAATTTTGAATGATCGATTAGCAGCGACAGAAGGCGGTGAGGTTGCGAAAGAGGTGCGATGTGAAAAATCCGCCGGCATGTGAAATTTCCGGCCGCTAGCGAGAGAGGAGGCGAGGTTCGGTCCGTTCGGCAGCGCAAGAGTCGGGGTACGGACAGGCCAGCAGCAACAGAGGAGGCGGACAGGGAAGACAGGAAGAGAGAGGCGACGGACAGGAGAGAGGACGACATTGTTGGTGTTAAGAGATGGAATGGGCTTTGAGGGAGGGCCCATTCGTTTTCTACCGGCGGCTCATCTCAATCCAACGGAAACGGATCCATCCATCTTACCAATATAGCCTCCCGTGAACTGCGCAGAGAGCAGGAAATCAGAAACTAAAGGTGTTCCGGCTGGAATCTCTTTATTGTTTTGTCTGGATTGAATAAGTTTGCGAAAGAATGGTGATTATCATAAATCATCGTCAGAATTGTTTATGGTTTATGCATAGTATACCATTGGAAAACAATTTGACTTATGATTATTTTGAGAAACTATTGGTCAGAAGTGTTTATGGTTATATGTAGACATATATCATTGGAAAACAATTTGGCATGAGAGCTCAATTGATATGATCTTATTGAACTTAAAGTCTGAATTACTTATGGTATATTTATGAAGTGTATATCATTGGTAAGTAATTAGACCATTGACTTAAAATATTCATTTGAATTGTTTGTGGTGTGTCAAGTTACCTTGAGGGAAAGTCATTGGTAAGTAATTAGATGATATTTCCAATACAATATGGAAATACAACTGAATTACTTGTGGTATCTCAAGTTTACCTTGACCAATTCCATTGGTAAGTAATTAGATTATATTTCTTATAATATCTGAATTGTTTGTGGTATGATAATTCAATTAGTCCATACGGTTGGTAAACAATTAGATTAATGTAGTGATTGTGAAAGTTCAATAGGTAAAGCCATGGAAAATTAAATGGAATTATTCCATGATAGTTTGGCAAGTGGTAGAATTGTGGGGAGATGTTTTTTTATGCTAGTTGGATAACGAGTGCTAGTGATAATAAATCTACAACAGGTAGTTTTTTACACTAGGTGATGGAGTTGTTTCTTAGTTTCGAAGAAACAAACATGTATTACACACTCTCCACTATGGAAGCTAAATTTCTAGCCCTTGTGGCGGCTAAAAAAGAGGCAGAATGGCAAAGAAACAGGTTAGATATAGAGTTGTGGCCGCAATTGATGTCAGCCATTTCCGTCTATTGTGATAGTGATGCTACTTTGTCTAGAGATTATAACCAGATTTACTATGGTAAGTCTAGACACATAAGCCTAAGACATGATTACGTTAGATATTTGATTACTAATGTAATAATTTCTAGTGTGTATGTAAGGTCAAGCAATAATTTGGCAGATTCTCTTAATTACCAAGGGATTGCCAATATGCATGATCTATGAGACATCACAAGGGATGGGATTGAGACCTTTAGCGTAGTTACGAGTAATGGGAACCCAACCTTTTCTTTAGGTATTCACTAATTAAAAGGTTCAATGTGGTAATAACAAGTTAGTCTAACTGAGGTACTAGTTTTATTGTACAAGTAAATTAGTCCAAAAAAGGGTGAGTCATAGAACTCTTGAGATGAGTTATAGAACTCTTAATGAATTCATTTGGAATGTCACATATGTGAGCACTAAAAGTGGTGTCGCTCTAACAAAATTAGAGGTCAACTTTTGTGAATGCTCATGAAACAGGATCAACACATGGCCATAACAGTGCTACCCTTGTTGTTGGTCGTGGTTTAGAGAAGAGACAAGTACGTGTGTGGCATCTCCGGTTGTTGCTTTGGATTGTGACTCCTAGGCTTAAGCCCGTCACTGCTTCATTATCAACTTTGAGTTGCTTACACTAGGTAAAGGTTCAAATCGATAAGATACATTATGTACGCGTTACTTGTTTGAGGCAGGTATTCTCAACTCTTGTTGACTAAGTGGGGGATTGTTAGAGTTAGTCAATATAGTTGTAATACCACATTGATGGTAGAAGGACATTATAAGAATTGAATCTTTTGGCAGTTTAATTAATTAATTAAATTTTATATTAATTAATTAACGTTTGAATATTTTGAAAAGAAGTGTCATTCCAGAAAGATAACTTCCTTTTTCTGTGAAAGGATGTGTCCTTTCGAGAAAGGTAACTACCTTTTCCTGTGAAAGGTTGTGTCTCTTCGGAAGGTAACTTCCAGTTTTCACGAGTATAAATAGATGATTGCCATAACTCTTTTTAATATGAGAGAATTCTTCTTCTTCCCATTTCCTTCTCCATTTCATAAACACAGAAGTCTGCAAGATTGCTGCTTCCAGACTTAGAATTGAAGGGACTCCTGGGGGTGGTTTGCTCGAGCCTACCAGCAATTTGTTGTGGGGGCATATAACACTCTAATGAGAGTGATCTAATAACGTCTTCAATCGATTCTCTCCTGCCAGTTTCTGATAGATTTTAGTGCAGAGTAAAGTCATTTGCGTATGTACTTCAGCTTATTAATGGAGATTATGATCACTGGAGTTTTGCTAATGGAAGATCTTCTGAGGTCCAAGTAATATTCAACTGTGCATGGTTACTGACAGAATTAAAGAACCATTTGAAAGCACTGAGCTACCTGTTGCTCCATAGAAGAATCCAAATATATAGGTTATTTGACTGTTGATACTCTTCAGTCATAACTGTTGGTGCGTGAACATAAATTTAGCAGGTTTTTATATGATGATGAACAATCTTAGAGGGTTGGGGCGGATTCTTGTAAAGCAAAAGAAGAGGCAGAGATGTTATGTTTGGAAGAGGTAAAGGTCGAGGTAGATCTTGGAACAAAGAAAATGTTGATTGTAAACACTATCACAAACTGGGTAACTTTAGAAATGAATGCCCTGAGTGGACTCAGGAATGGCAATTGCAGGTCCGAAGCGGGTTTCTCGATACCCATACCCGCCCCATGGCAGGTCGGGTTCAGGTCGAGTAATTTATTACGGGATGCTGGTCGGGGCAGGTCGACCCAATGGGTACGTAATTTATGCGAAAAACATTAGAATTATTCGTTATTTTCACTAAAAGACCAAAAAATAAACCATAATACGATAAAATGTAGTTAAATTATTGAAGAAATTGATGTTTTCACTTATTTACAACTTTATTATAGCTAAAATATAATGTAATAAGAGGAAAATCCTAAGTAATTTTACTAAGATTACATGTAATTTAGGCAAGAACGGGTCGAGAATGGGACGGGTCAGGGCAGGTCGGGTCGATGAGAGGTACCCATGTCCGCCCCGCCAACAAGGCGGGTCTGACCTGCCCCAAAACAGGCCAAACAGATCGAGTAAATCGGGTCAGGTCGAAATTGTCATCCCTACTTCACAGGCATACTATTCCAATGAACCTGCTGATATGGGGGATGAGGTGCTTCCTATGGCAACCACTGAATCATATGATGAAGAGTTGGAAGCCATGATGACATTTTTGAATACGTTGAGAAGTCTGAGTCTTGGTGGTTTCTCGATTGGGGTTACAACAATCATATGAGTGCTTCTAACACCTATTTTAGTAATATCGACAGCTCCATCCACTGTACTGCCAAATTGGGAAATGATACCAGACTCACCGTTCGATGAAAATGTACCATCAAGATGAAGGGAGAAGGGAAGACTCTTGTAAAAAATTATGTTTTCTATATGTAAGATTTGAAAAAAAGAAATTGCTAAGTATGAGGCAAACTGAAGAAAAAGGATGGCCTTTTTTATAAAGAATGGAGCATGCAAGTTCTTCCATGAAGAGAATATGTTGTTGTTTGAGACTTTAATATAGACAAATAGAATGTTATTACTTCATGTTGAAAACTGAAAAAGACTCACCATGACATGAGAAGCAATGCTTTCAATCAACTACAAGTGAGGAAGAGGTAGTAAGATTATTGCATAGAAGGCTTGAGCAAAGGTATGCCAACAATGTGTGTTACTTCTACGTACTTTTGCCCTTCACTTTGGTATGATACTAATTTGATATGGTCCTACTGAATCAACCAATACTCACCCAAAGGATTAAAACTCATATTCAAAACAAATAACCCAAAACATAAACAAGTAAATCTCATTATTGTTGTATGATGTTCCATCCAAAACTGGTGGTGACCCTTTCTCTACATTCCCACCGCCATCTTCCACTTCAATAAACAGTAACAAAAAAACACTACAGAACCCCTCTATCAAAGTTCTAGACAACAACAACACAACAGAACAAAATCTGAGGAAATGGTCTATAAACATGTTTCTATCTGTCTCAAGAAAACACCCACACACTCTCAACTCACCTGCTCTTCAAAAGTCTTCTCTGGCTCTCTTCCATTCTCCCATGTACAAAAGCCTCTTCTTCCTTCTAACAAAAAACGGCTGCTCCCTGCTTAACATTGCTGAACAACTTCACTGATCATGATCATCATGTCTGCTAACCTCTTCTGTCATCTGCTCTAGATGATTCCTCCACTCCATCATCGGCATAGAGCAATGATCACTGCTCCTCAGGACTCAGAGACCTATCTTGTTCCTTGTCTGCCTCATGATTCTCACTACTCCCGCCTCCTCCATCGTCTGTAGTTGCTGACTCAGAATGCTGCTGCTGTTGCTGGCTGATCATGTGCATCAAGAGCTCTTCAGGCCTTTAACTCGGAGGTCCCCGAGTGTACTCCAGTCGACGAAGTGAGATCATGGTTGATCTTCCTCCTCTTCCCACCGCTGCTGTATAGAGCGTCCAGTTGATGAAAGTACGGACAAGTCTTCGAGTCCTCGGGCCTTGCCTTGCTGCTCTCTTTCACCCTCCTGAAGTACTTGTTCATGTTCTCCCATTTCTCCTTACACCTCTTGGCACTCCTGTCGAACCCTAGTTTCTTCATCTCCAGTGACACTTCCTCCCACAACGGACCCTTAGGCCCGCTCTCTTGATACTGCCTGTCGAGATTCGTCCTTAGCCTTATCAATGCTTCGATTTCCTCCTTAGGCCATCTCGATGGCGAAGAAGAAGATGGAGTCATGGGAGTAGGAGTGTATTTCACCACAGCTCTCGTGGGAAAAGGAACTTTCTCCAATGGCAATGGCAACGGCAACGATAAATTGGAGAACTTCTGCAAAAAAGCAAGCACCGCGGCATCTTTAGCAGCTATGTTAGCTCTCTTGCGAGCCAAGTCTTCGCGTTCTTTCTTAATTCTCTCCAATTCCTCTGCCTTCCGTACTTCTAATCTCACCATTCTACCATTCTCAAACTTTTCCACTGCTTCAATGAACTTCCTCTGCAAACTTTCTTGCTTCTCTAATACTCTGGCTAGCAATCCATTGAAGAACTCGGCGAGCTTCCTCTTCTTCTTCTTCGTTGTTCCTTCTGATTATTCTTTAGTGGGAGTAGAGGTGGTTGAAGTAGAGCTGCTGTCGGCGAATTGCATAGTCGGACTGTACACTGAACACGGGATGGCATCTATGGCTGGACTCTCACTAGCTTGAATTGTACTAGGGAGCGGAGTAGCCATTGATGACGGCGGGGTGTTATCTAGAGCTTCTAACTGGGAAAAGAACTTGTAATTCTTGCAATTGGATCTGTAGGTTCTTCCTTCTTTGGTTCTCTTATGGTAGTTCTGAGTGTTCTCGAACTTCTCTTTACATTTCTTGGCGCTTCTGGTGTATCCAAGCGCACTCATTCGCCTGAATTCAACAAATTTTTTTTTCTTTTAACTAGCTCAGTTCATTTATATTCCCAAAGTTCAAACAAATGAACACAAAAGTAGCAGAATTCGAAACAAATACAGAAAATTGGGAGATACCCATGAAGCATTTTTGCAATTTAAGAACAGGGCAGGTCGGTTTTTTTCCCCTCAGGCGCCAAACAGAGCAACGGAAAATTTTCCCGCCGTCATTTATATTGCCGGGAAAGTCGAAACCGGTGAAAGCGGAAATTAAACCAGAGAGAGAGAAGCAGTGGGAATTTTAGTTAAACTAACCTCGTGATCTCTTCCCAGAGGGGAGCCCGGAGTCTCTAAAAGTGGCGTCCATCTCCGACCTTATCTTCAACAGAGCCACCGTCTCCTCCGGCGGCCACCGGTTCCCTCCTCCACTTGACTACTGCAGCTGAAGCTCCTGATTCCCTCCTCCTCCTTCTCTCCCACGCAATTTCATCCGCTCCTCTTCTGCCGCCAGGCCGCCTCCGCCGTTCCCGCTGTTCATCAAATTCGCCGGCGAAGTCGAGAATTCCATGGCCTGGTGTGAAGTGAAAGTGAAAGGTAAATTTAAGCTCAGATCAGTTAATTACTTTCAAATTCTTTTTCCTAATTCGTTTTTGGGTTGCTTGAGATTTAAATTTGGGGGAAACGGGATTTGGACATTTGGGGATTTATCAGGGTTTAAGGTTTGAATTGGAAAATCCAAAACCACCGTTGTTAAATACAGAGGGATGGAAGGGGTGAAATTAGGGTTTTATTGAGAAGAGGAATGAAGAGGATAAACAGTTTGGTGAAGAGAAGAATAGTCTGTAGATGAAGTAAAGATTAAAAAAAAGGCCAAATAAAGAAGAAGAAAAAAGAGAAACAACAGCTGTCAAGCTGATTTGGTTTGACATGTCAAAATCTGATTGGTTTGTCGTCAATTTGTTTGGATTTTTATGGTGGTGGTGGCAGGATTTATTTTTTATTCCATTAAGGGGTTTTATTTTTTATTTATATTTATAATTAGGGGTGTTAAATTTTTTGGGGGGAGAAATTTTGACTTTGGGGTAAATGAAATTGGCTAGAGCCATGTGAGATGTGACTTTTCTGGAGGGAGGAAGAGGTAGGGGTGTTCAAATGGTTATCGTGGTAATAATCAAACCAATTAAGTTTAAATTTCATTAATAATGGATTAAAATTTCTTAACCAAACCGTCCGAATTAACACGAAAATCAAATTAACCAAACTAAAGTTTAATTGGTTTGGTTAATCGGATAATCGGATTAACCAAATAACATAACATTACATGAAAACAATTATCCTGTTAATGAATAAAATATAACCATATGTTATTACTATCATATACTATCATTATATATAAACAATAATAATAAGACTAACCATCCAAGATTACCACCATCATTCAAGTTAATTCATCAGCTCTGCACCTAATATAGTTAGCTTACAACAAACCCTTAACATAAATATTAAATACATATCAATACCACTCATTAGTAAGTTAAAGCTCTCCTACAAAATACTTAAACTATACATAGTTTGAGGTGGTTGTCATGGTATTGTACGTAATCCTAAAGTCTAGTAGCTGTCCAAAATGTTTGGTTTAGAAAATAGGCAGACCCATTTAATTTTTGACCCATAATGTTTTGGTTTGTTGTGAACATGAAAATAAAATAGGGAATCACGAAAGTTTGGTTTGGTTGGTTGCATGGAAGTATAAATAATTTTATATATTACGTGTATCATTAATTGGTTAATTGGTTTCATCGGTTAGCAGTGTTGAAACCAAACCAAACCACCTAAACCAAATAAGCTAAATTATTAACCAAACCAAATCAATTATCCAAATTAACCAAACCAAATTAACCAAATGTTACCGGTTAATATGGTTACCACGGTAACCAATCCGTTTGAACACCCCTAGGAAGAGGGTGAGAAATAGGTAGTGATTTTTTTTCATTTTGGGTTCATATTTTGGGTGATTTTGAAGTTGTGGGGTAGTATGATATGGATAGATCATTGAGGTGGTTGTTATTACATTTATTTATAATGTTCAATTATTTTTAATGGGATAATATGTGTAGATTATGTAATGTTTTTTTAACTAGCGATCTTATATTTCAACGTATTTTACATTGTTAATGAAGTAGTTATTCATTCTTGAATTGGTTTAGTATTATTTGATATGGTTTAATACGGATGCACGGTGCCGGTATGTACATGGATCAAGGAAAAATAAAGGAATACAATACAAACATATCGATGGTGTAATATTATTTGAAAAATAGTGAATGTTCAATGTTGTGGATATATGGAAAAAGAGATAAAAAAGAACAAGGAGTATGACATTTTTTTCCATTGAAAATGAGCACTTCTACTATGCTATATAGTATTGGTGCTTTAATGTACAACTTGAAGTTATACCATAACATTAAATGTATAAGTTTAGGTTATACCATAAAGGAATTTGTATCATTATGTTATGGTACAACTTTACAACTTGAAGTTGTACCTTCACATAAGATACAAGTTTAAGTTGTACATAAAAGAATTTGTACAATGAGTATAGGTACAATCTGAAGTTGTACCATAGCGTTAAAAGTACAATTTCAAATTGTACCATAAAAACAAAAACCTATAGCACTAATGTTATATAGCATTGTAAAATTCCTCGTTGAAAATATGTAAGTTTACATTTTAGTATAACCAAAATAGGAATTCCTTTTGTAATTTAGGTTGTAAATATATTGATTTTCTTTCCTTTTCGTTCACCCAATTGAGCAAACCATTTAACATCTAAGATTCTAAAGCAACTCATTTTATGTCCCACCCAAATAATTAAAAAGGAAAAAGAGAATTAACATTTAACATTTAGATAAGGGACGAAGGGAGGGACAGTGACAAACCAAGGAGCCACTTGATTCGAATTCAAATACTCTTTGCTTTGTCATATGTCACTTCAAATAATAATAATTCAAATGTGATTAGAGCCATAACCCCTAGCAATAATAGACTTTTTGTTGGAAGATCAAGTCAGAGAATTGATTGCTGCTCAAATCTCGGCTAGCCTCAAAAGGAAATCATGCCCTTTTGTATTCAGAGTTTCCATATATTGGTTTAATGGCTAGTTTCTTGCAGGCTATATATTCTGCTTCTATCAAGGATTGGAGGACACTTTGTACGAGCTACAGCGGCAGAGGGCTTAGCATAGGGTTTACAAAGGGTTGACGAAAGGTTGAGGCAGAGGTTCAACTTTCGTCAAGGCAGAAACAGATCGGAGAGTGATCTGGGTTTTATTTTCTATTCGTATTCATCTTTTTGCTTCTTTTGTAATTCCTTTGTGCCTTTTGTTCTTAGACAAATTCTTTAACAAAGGATCTCCCAGACTGTATTCTGGGACGTGGAAGTAAACCATTGTACTTGGGCGAACCACGTTAAAAATGCTTCGTGTTCTTTAGATTTCTGCACTTTACTTTCAGCCGTGTTCGTACTCTGATTTTCCAGAAACTATGTTTTCCTTCTCCAGTTAATGTGTTGCTGGCTTATGGTGATTCTTTCTTAGATCGGAAGAAAGAAGATTGGGCCCAAAGATCATTCTCTGTCACCCTGCCTCAACTGGTTCTTTCTTTTAGCTATTCTTCTGGGCATGTTCATTTAATCGGCCCACTTCCTTTTGTCTTCTTTGGAGAAACAATCTGAAGCCCCCATTCGATCATCTTCCTCGTTTGTTCTCTTAAATCGGCAATCTCCTCTGAACCCTAATTCCCATATCCACTGAAACCTTCTTTTCACTTTTCTTTTCTTCTCTTTGATTTTTTTTTTTTTTTTACTTTGTCTTCTATCTAGCTACGATCTTCTTCAGGCAATCATGGGGCTCCGATAGTTTTTTAAGTTGACCCTGCAGGGACGGGTCATGCAGGTCAGGTAGGTTTGGGGTCAATTTTCAGCCCCAGTGTGCAATACTGGCGTCTCTACGACAAATAGTGGCAGACCTCAGACAATTTAATTAATTAATTAATGAATTAAGTTTGGCGGTTGAGGGAGAGGCAAGAATACCTAACGATATTCTTGATTTTATTGTGGCTATGTAAAGAGGAAATGAAACCAAAGCTAGGAAATGACGAACTTACCTTCCAAGTCAGCCGAGCGAAGTACGACTGCGAATTCAAGTAGGTTTTCATTAATCCATCTCCTTCCTTGTTTCCTTCCTTTCGCGCGTTTGTCTTTGTGTTCTTTTTGCCTTAGTACGTAGAGCAGAGAGATGGGTAGCTAGCTAGGTTAATTTAGGGTTTTTCTTCCCTTCCCTTCACTTTGCTTTGCTTCCTCTTTTTCCCGTCAAACGTTTCTTCTTTGCTCACGTACGATGACGATGGTACTATACAACGCAACCATGGGGGCCATCTTGCAACTATTTCACGAGAACGACAATCTCGAGGATGCCTCGGACTGAGCCTACAACCGCGCCCTCTGTCTGTTCCACCTCGCGCCCAACTACAATGTGGTCAGGCGGGGGGTGAAGCTCTTGCGCATCCTGCGGTTCTCGCGGTAGGCGGGCGGGAGGAGGGGTCCTCGGGTGTAGTTTTTGTCTTACATTCCCGTCTCACCTCATACTTGATCCTTTTATGTTAATTCTCTCCAATTTTGATATGTATTTGTGTTGTTTTGGTTCATAGAGCGAATAATATAGTAAGAAATTAATCTAAATCTTTATTTCTCTTATATATTTAATTCCTTATTGATTGAAAAATAGTTTTTATTTAATTATTCAGCTCCAAATGCAAAGAAAATCACATATCATAATGAGTCGATCCACTCTATCTTGTAGTCGCATGAGTATTATCTAACGTGACACGAACTTTACACACGCAACGGTCATGGGAGTTGAGATACACCCCTTGCTCTATTTCCATTTCTATTGAAAATGAAACATATTAAAATTTAGTCTTTAATATATTACTTAAATAAATATGTATTAAATTATTTTGATTAATAATAAAAAGGGTGAATAAGACAAATTTAGACAAAAAAGAAAAGAAATAATTAGAGTATAATAACGACAGTTAAATTGGCTCTTAGATGACTTAACATACAGATAAGACGTCATGACACATCGGCATTGACTTGTAACATTTAAAAATAGTACTTACCTAAACGAGTATTTTTCTTCTCTATGAATTTTTTTTACTGTGTACTATCTAGCTACGATCTTCTTCAGGCAATCATGAGACTCCGATAGTTTTTTAAGTTGACCCTGCAGGGAGGGGTCATGTAGGTCAGGCAGGTTCTGGGTCAATTTTCAGCCCCAGGATTGTAATACTGGAGTCTCTACGGCAAATAGTGGCAGACCTCGATCAATTTAATTAATTAATGAATGAATTAAGTTTGGCGGTTGAGGGAGAGGCTCTCCTTCCTTGTATCCTTCCTTTCGCAAGTTTGTCTTTGTGTTTTTTTTTTTTTGCCTTAGTACATAGAGCAGAGAGATGAGTAGCTAGCTAGGTTAATTTAGGGTTTTGTTATGTCGAAATCGGACAGCTCATTAGTACGATATTGTCCACTTTGGGCCAAAGCCCGCACGGTTTTACTTTTGGGTGTCCTCCCCAGAGGGCCTTGTACTAATTTGGCTAGGTGGACACTAATATACAAGGGTTCCTTCTCTTGTATTATTGATGTGAGGGGCAGTGGACGTCAATTTTGAGCTATCCGATTTTGAAATGATCCTTTCACTTTGCTTTGCTTTCTCTTTTCCCGTCGATTGTTTCTTCTTTTCTCACGTATGATGGCAGTGGTACTATACGACGCAACCATGGGGGCCATCCTGCAACTATTTCACGAGAACGTCAATCTCGATAAAGGTTGGATAGAGCCTACAATCGCGCCCTCTGTCTCTCCCACCTCGCGCCCAACTACAATGTGGTCAGGCGAGGGGTGAAGCTTTTGCGCATCCTGCGGTTCGTGCGCCATCCGGGCAGCTGGAGGGGTCCGCGGGTGCTCGACGAGTTGCGAATACTCAGGATACAAGACCGTTGGGCTTCCTTGGACATCGTATGGCCCGTTATCTCGAAAGGGAGAACCTCACGGCAGAGTGTAGGATGGCACCTCTTATCCCCTTGGAGAGAGACCTCATCGTCACAGCCGGCGGCTTCCTCCAGCAAGCCATAGCTCTTGTAATCGCCGACATGCTGAGACGATGAGTAGTGACGTTCTACTTTGCTTGGTATGGTATGCTCTACTTAATTTCTTGCATGCTTGCTATTTTAATTGCTTGGTATGTTATTCTTTGCTTGGTATGAGACTAATAACAAAAAAAGCTTAAATGTCATTAAAACGAAAGCAAAGGCAAGCGAGCTGAGTTTTCAACAAATTAACATTGACCCGACACGTCACTTACAATCACAAAAGCGTGTAAAACTCATTCTCGACGCAAAAGTTGTCAACACCGGTCGAATTAGATCGAATACCCATTTACGTGGGTTCAATCATCATTAAAAGAACAAACTAGAAATAATAAAAAAGCATGTAAAACTCGTCCTCAACGCTAAAGCCGTAAACACCGATCGAATTAGATTGAATGCTCATTGACTTGGTACAATTGGGTTCAATTGATATAAGCTAATTAATTAGAACGTCAATGGCATTTAAACCCCTCCAAGTTTTGGCTAATTACAAAATGACCACCCCTTGTGATAGGACACTATGCAATAGTAACATCTTTACTTGTTCTTTTATAGAGATAAAGATCAAGATAAAGATAAAGATAATAATAATAATAATTATTATTATTATTATTATTATTAATAATTGCTTGATATGGTATGCTTTTTTAATTGCTTTCATGGGTCCAAGTTAATTATTTTCGATCTCTTATTTCCCTGCATGCATTTATGTGCAACATACATTTATTTCATGATTTTTGGTTTCTTGATAGTTTTCCCTTGTGTTTGTTGTTGGGTTTCCTGTGTTTTGTTTTGTTTTATTTTGGTTTGCTTTGGGTGCAGCATCGTCAGAGGGATTTAAATTTCCA